AGAAAAGAATGTCTCTGTCTTTTATTTTTGTTTTCAGTGTTTAATTAAGGTGGGAGAGGCGGAGGGCTGAGGGAGATCAGACACCTCCAGAGAGGGGAGAGGGAGAAATATAACAAAATAAAATTAAATAGGAAAAACCTGTCTTATTTTATTTTCAGCGTTTAATCAAGGGTGGGGGATTGAGGTGTTGGAAGTTACTTTCTTTTGATGAGTAATTGTTGGCTATTTGTGACTCATATTTGTTTATTTATTTATTTCAGTTTGAAGTTATTTTTATTTAATATTTATTTATTTATTACAGGTTGAATTTTTTATATTATTTGACTCATACAGCCAAACTACTGTATCTACAGTACATTTGTTATTGGCAATAAAGGTTGTCAAGTTAAATGGCAAGTTGTTGTATGGTCATTTTGTACCTATGATTACAGTTGGGATGGGGGCCTCCAAATAAAATTTCGCTTAGGGCCCCAGTTTAGTCAGGGGCAGCCCTTCCGCCGTGTTTCCCCCTGATGGCTCCGGGCACTGCTACACAACAACTGACACTGGCAGCGTATCATGCCAACATGAAAGGACTGCTTTTTTTTTATTGTGTTGGCAAAAACTGCCTTTGTGCATTGGTGTCTGATGCAGACGTCTACTGAAAAAGCGGCGGTAATTGATGAGTTGTGAATTTCAGATTGCAACCAGCTGAAGCTTCTACCATGTGCCAAGTCTGAACTCCGAGTCAGGATTCTTTCAGTGTTCTTTGTTGAGTTTTTTTTTTACGGGGAGCCAAATTATCCACAAAGGTTTCTTCCTCTCTTCTGCTCCAAAACAAATCGACCCAGTGATTTAAACACACGGAATAAAACAGTTTCACGTTAAAAAAATCCAGAGTTTTCCAATGATAATTGATGTGGAGGGGCTGCTAACTGTGGTGGTCAATGCAAAAACACAAATGGTCATGTCTGGAGCCAGTGTTTGGTTTGTCCATTCTGGGCTTATGTTGAAACATGGTGGACTCTGTGGACACTCCCTGTGTAGATATAAACAACTTATTCTATGAAAACACGGCCATTCTTATTTTCAGGTGATTATGCTCTGAAGATAACAGACTTATTATATTATCATCCATTTCTGCCGATACATCCCACTAAATCCTACACACTGGACCTTTAAACAGTGCTGCAGAAACGTGCCTCTTGTTTCCATAGGTCTATAATTTGCTTATATTACTTTAAATAGCTTAAAGAAGAGCGCTGGTGGTCTTAAGGGACTTCCATTTCCTCCCCCAGTCTGCTGTTTATGACGTCCAGGGACAACAGGAACACATAAAAGTCAATGGACAAGCAGACAGTGCACCAGCATGTGAATTCGTTTTGGTCCCTTTTATGTTTTCTGTGGGAACGTAACATGTTTCAGGCTCTCTGTATTGTAGCTGAGAGATGTTTTAACTCTACCACTCCACCGTCTCTCTCTGTCACTAGCATGGTGTCACCAAAGAGCTCTGTGTCACACGCTTCAATACTACGGTACCTGTGCCCTCATTAATCTACACTCTCATAGTGTGGTTGCCGCGGCAACAGAAACTGGGAGAAAATGAGTCCATCACTCAACCGAATGTCTCGTCGCCAGCAGTTGATAGTTGAGAGTTGATTTGTTGTGTTGTTTGTTTCCTGGGCCTCTGACTCTTGGGGTTGTCAACAAATGTGTTGAGCACTTGATGCTGAGATTTTCACCCCTTGATAATTTTAGGGAAAAGGAAGCTGTGATTTTAATCATTCAATTGATTTCCCGTAGGTGCAATCAGTGGCCAACCTCTAATCAACTCTGTTTTACACACTGCCTTTAATCTTGGAGCTGTCAGTGCAACAGTGAGATACTGTCTGTGTTCATACCAGCACCAACAGGCTGTGTTTAACAAGCTGTAACAAAAAACCATAACAGAAATCACCAGTGACCAGCGAGCTGCAGCCCTGTTTAACAGCAGCTAACACCAGTCTGCACTGTCTGTTTGGATGCAGATATTAAAGTGTAGTCAGTACGTGTAGATTGGAGAGAGTGAGTGTTTTTTGTCCTCCATGTGAAGCCATTTATAATGCTGCTAATGAGTTAAAGGCAGCACCCTTGATCCCCACAACCAGAATTCAGAACAATGGATTGGATCATCATCCGTTATCATTCACACATTTATCTTTTAGCCTACATTTAAATGAAGCTCTAGCGAAGGTTCAGTCAGGAAGACAATACTTTAAGATTTCTTCTCACTCTGCCATTCACTCCTGCACACATGCTCACTCACTATCTCTGGGTGTCAGTATTTGGGTCTGTCAGTTGAGTCATCTGCTGTTCTTCACTTGATTCACAATCAACCAATAGCACTGTGACACACCTTCTCTGTTAGCCTATCATCTCACTGCTCCTCATTTTAAATATGGTTCTTTCTCTGACGTATTTTTTTCTTGCTGCTGTCGCGTGCGCCCTGCACCTCCCCATCATTACGTAGTATTTACGGATTCATCAGCCTCATCAGCCTCATCCGCCTCAGTAGCCTCAGAGTCAGCAGCCACCACCACCAGTGTCTGGACTCCATGGGGGGGATTATCCTGCTGCCACTCAGATATCTCCCTCTGGTGTCCAAGTGCCAAAGACTTCTGTTTAATCTTAATCAGCAAAAATCATCTGTTAATCTGTACACTCATATTCTATATTAAATTGTATCTTTACTTAATTCTTCTGTCTCTCCTGATTGAAGTGTTTCTTTTCTGATGCTGTTGTTTACAGCACTTTAAAATACAACAGGAGAACTGACCTATGAAGTGAAGAAAGACAAAAAAGTTGCCTTTAACAAGACACTGAAAATAAGTTTTCCCTTCCACGGTTGTAATGTCTCAACATAATGACATAAAAACATAATCATAACAAGACTATAGGTGCTACAAATTGTTTTAAAGATATATTGGTTTAAAAAAGTATGTCTCCAAACATCACTAATAAATATGTTTCAGATTGTTTTATCAGCACACAAATATGAAATAAGGAGAAGACAATTTGTGGTTATATGGAGAGGTGTGTGGTGTAACCAGATTTATCTGTAAGCTCATGTTTTATTTCCTTGAGAGGTGCGTTTGGTCCCCCTCCCATTTAAACAGATTTCTACCCGCTTTGGGCCAGTCTCAATCATTTAGCTAATATGGGTCAGGTTCAATATGATGACTGACAATCTGCAGAACATTTGCGCTTCACGCACAATATATGCTGACATCATTTTTGGCATGCGCACCTTGTGCGGGGGACACAATGTGTGCAATACAATTTTTTTACTTATTGTTTTTATTATGACATGACCTATATGCTCTTGTCTCGTTCGTCTTGTTTGTCTTGGGTTGTCTCCACTTGTTTTATTTTTGTTCTTATATTTATTCCTAATGCACCTTCAGTTGTGGCACTCCCAATTTCATTGTATAGGTGTCTGTACAATGACAATAAAGGCTATCTTGAATCTTGATCTACGGCCACTGATAACACTCCTTGAAAATCAAAAATGAGCTGAGAGGTTGTTGCATTTGTGAATTGGTCAGGCTATGGTGTAACTATTTCTTCAACTAATGACACTGTTGCTACAGTAAGTTTGTTGGTCTACCATTGGAGATGCTGCACATACTCTGTAAAGAAAGAGTTGAAATATGTACAGCAACTCCCCCTCAAAGCCAGTTTCATTTTTGTGTGTTGGTATATAAAACGAATGAGATACAAGCTACTTAGCGAGCTTTAGAAGTGCTGAACTATGGAAAGAACCAGGCCAACTTTTTCCCCTGCACCCAGCCCTTCTAAGCTATTGTTTGGTTTACACTAGCTAAATAATGTGGTTCATGTTGCTTAGATTAACAGAGTTTAGCTAAGAAATGTAGGGGCATACTGTTTATTTACCTGTAAATATATGAGAAATGTGAGAAAATGATGATAATAATTCACTATTACTTTTATTTGCTCTTATTTTGAAGTGCAAAGAAATGACCTGCTCTGTGATTTTGTTGCTAGTGATGATGTGCTTACAAGATGTTGGGTGCAAAGGTCGTTTTCATGTACTCTTCTTGTTTCAACTGCAGCATATCAGACAGTGAAATGTTCTCTGCTCAACATTCAAAGCCTCCACTACACACCCGACAACGCCTGACTCCAGCTACGAGCACATTTGTGAAATTGTACTTCAGTAAAACATACATGAGTTTTTTTTTTTGCAGGTTTAACTGCCGTTTAGCTGTCACATGAACCTCCCTGAAATCTGCATTATGATTGTTGTTTACCGTTGGCTTATTCGGCAGCTATTCCTTGATGTCCTCCCACGGTTTAGTTTAGTTGGTACTAAAATAAATTAACTTAAGTGGTCGTCAGTTTGGCCGAAACCTTCCAACACTTAATAAATGTACTCCTCTGGCAGTAGAGATATTTTAAATAAATCATACGGTCTGCTCCAGCTGGCAGACTGAAGATCATAACCAATCGTGTGTAAATTGCTGACTGTGTTGTTTTCACTGATCTACTGAGAGGGCAGCTGATTGGTCTGATTACTTATCTTCATTGAAATGGCCATTCCCCTGAGCATCAGTAGTGATGGCCCATTGTGTCAGCCTGCAGTTCTGACAGCTTGTGTGCAGGTCTCGGGCTGTGGCTGAGCCAAAATGGTAATAAGAGATACTGATAGGAGACAGATTGAAGGCTGGATTGATGCATAATGCAGCACCTGTTCAATCTGCAGATGTGGAGACTGAGTGGGGAGGATACATGCATATTTATAATGATCAATCTATAGATAGATAGATAGATAGATAGATAGATAGATAGATAGATAGTACACAGAGGTATTTTCTTCTCCTGGCCAACATTGGTTATGATCTCCATGTTATGACTTTTCCATCCAACATAATGTTGACATGCTATGAGAGAGAAAATGTGTTTTGATTTTCCCCTCCTCAGTTCATTTCTCATCTGTCTGCCTTGTGTTCTTGTCTCCCCAGCGCTGTCACCAAGCTGTTATTCTTCCCTGCATCATGGAGGCTCCGCCTGGTGCATCATGGGAGCTCATCAACGGTGTGACAGATAGAATATATGAGGGCTGAGAGGTCGTCATGGAGACTGACAGCTACACCTCAGGCCCTGCCACCACTGACTGGGCTGGGACGGTGGCCGGCCTGGAGGGAATGGGAGTCCTTCAGGAGCAGGGAGGAGGGGGCTCGCCCAGCAGCTTGGCGTCCTGGTACGAGCCGTACTCGCTGGGCTTCCAGGTGTCGCTCACCGCCTTCCTCATGCTGGAGCTGGTATTGGGTTTCAGCAGCAACCTGACAGTGCTGGTGCTCTACTGCTCTCAATCCAATTTGGTGGACTCTGTGAGCAATATGGTGACTGTCAATCTGCATGTGCTGGATGTGGCGGTGTGCGTGCTGTGTCTGCCCCTCACACTGGTGGTTGTGCTGCTGCCCCCGGGACCAAACCTGGCCCTGCTCTGCTGCTTCCATGAGGCCTGCGTCACCTTTGCCAGCATAGCCACAGCCATCAACATCCTGGTTATCAGCTTGGACCGATACGACATTTCAGTACGGCCGGCCAACAGGCTGTTGACCACACGTAGGGCGACGCTGCTCCTGGCTGCCGTTTGGGTCACCTCGGTAGCTGTGTTCTTTATCCCATTCTTGGAGGTGCAGTGGTCCAGTGCAGAAGAAGCAGAGGAGAGAGGGCAGGTGACACCCTTGTCCTTACATGGTGTCAGTGCCACAGTGGCGCCAGCATGGCGTAACCAGACATTGCTGTGTGTTGGCGGGCAGGGCTTCGACACAGGCCTGGGCATGCGCTACCATCTTGTCCTGCAGGTACCCATCTTCTTCACCACAGTGGCAGTGATGCTGTTCACGTACTCCAGAATACTGAGAGCTTTAAACATCCGCATCGGCTCCCACATGAAAAAGGGCCAGAGGTTCAGGGGGCACCATAAGAGACAGAAAAAAAAGAAGACGGGGCTTAGAACGAATGATGGAGGGGAGGTCGGAGGGGAGCAGTGCACCACAGATGGTACCAAACAGCTCAGCCACCCTCCCCTCATCCCCTCCCCCTCCCCGACCCCTACAGCTACCTCCCCCCCTGCCCTGTCCTCTTCTGCTCCACTCGTCATCCCTGACACAGGTGCTGCGACCGCCATGCCCGCCACCATGGGTGTCCAAGCCTCCGTGTCTGCAATTATTGCCCTGAGGCGGGCAGTGCGGCGACACCGGGATCGTCGAGAGCGACAGAGGCGGGTGTTCAGGATGTCCCTAATCATTATCACCACCTTCCTGGGCTGTTGGGCTCCCCTTTCTGTGACCAATGTGCTAATCCTAGGCATAGGCCCCAGTGACGCCCTGGTTAGCCTACGCCTCTGGTTCTTAGCCCTGGCCTATGGCACCACTGTCTCCCACCCTCTGCTCTACGCTTTCACCAGACAGAAGCTGCGCCGTGCTCTCCGTGCTAAGGTAAAGAAGAGGGTGGTGTCCCTGCTCCAGGTAGACCCTTCACCAGGGGGCACCGTCATACACAACTCCTGGGTGGAGAACAGAAAAACCAGCCGGCAGGTGCGGCTGGAAGCAAGCGAAGGTACTGACCGCTGCCTGGCAGAAGTCCTGTGAGACTGACACACTTGGGCCGGGCTATAATTAAAAAACAGAATGAGTCACAGGTGTGTTTCATTATGAAACTCACCGGTGTGTGAAGCCAGTGTAAGATATGTGAAAAACACATTTCCACCTCTGGGAGATGTTTTAATGTAACCACCAGCAGCAAGCCCGTGCGAAACACAGCGCTAACGTTCACCTCAGGCAGCAGTGAGAGCAGGATGTTGTCATCACTGTGGTGCACACAGCCTCTGCAGCTGAAACAAATCACAACAACAAACACACAAGTGTATATAATTTGCACTCTGTCAGATACTGAAGTCTGTTTACATACTGTATAATAGAGCGCTCTCATAGTGGTGCTTACCTAACTGCTCCAAAGAATGTGTTTAGCCAGCAGATGATCTGATCTGCCACCCACTCAAATGCTCCGAGGCAGCTTTAAAGGAAAAATGTTGATACACTTTGAACAAATGAACACTTAAAAAATCTATTTAAATGTACTTAATATTGTTTCTGCCTTAATTCTGCTCTGATGGTATGAGGTGTAAAAAGGGGTGTGTGTGTTGGATATTTACAATCAGCACACAGTGATGATATGCTGAAGATGAGATGTAAATGTGTTAGCGTTTAAGAGTCAGAGAACAATTAAAGGCTATTGTGAAATTTTAAATGCAGTTTTGCTTTAGCTTCAGTCATTATTAAACAGTCAATGTTTAGTGTCTTGTGATGCTCTTTCAGATAAATGCAGCTCTTTTTCTCCCAAATTTGTATCAAACGATGTGATGTCTCATTGATTTTTTTGCATATAATGATTGGAGAAGCTGAGATTATTGATTAAAGTCTTGATTAACGTTGAGGGAAATAGACTCATTGGCATTTTTTTTTTTTTATTGGAAAGAATTAGATGAGAAGACTGATACCACTCTCATGTGTGCTGGCTACACAAGCAGCAACCTCCTGGGCTAAAAGATGAAGCCAATGCAGAGGCTCCAGAGACTGCAGTTCCTCGAATTGCCATGTGAGGCTGGAATGAAATGCCCAACTTTATAACAGAAATAAACATATTTACAGCCTGTTACAAAAAATGGTTTTAGTCTCTATAGTTAATTTCAACATTAATGACAACTGTATTTTTATATAACTCACCTGCTTACATTTTGTTATGGCCCAAATTTACACAATGGCGGGCTGCTTGAGTGACCTGGGCTTTCTGCAGGGTGTCGCTACAGTCAGATCCACCCCTCACTTCTCCACGGAGCCACCCACTTGTCCAAATATGGTCACTTCTGCCTCCAAAAAGTCAAGATAACATTCAAGATTCAAGGCTTCAAAATCTGGAGTCCACAAACCAATGTGTGACGTCATGGTAGCTACGTCCATGATTTTATACAGGCGTACATTGAATATGACGCTATAGCCAAGTTAGTTAGCTTAGCTTAGCACAAAGAGTGGAAACAGAGGGAAACAGCTTGCTCTATTCTGTGCAAAATAGATGAATAAATAAATAAATATCCCTACACCTCCATTTTTTACACTTTGAAATGTGATATAACATGTTACCTTCAGACACAGTCAGACTAGTTATTTCCCCATGTTTCAATCAGGCCTCCATGAAGTGCTCAGACCTTGAAGCTAGTTTTCATAGTGGCCATGCAGTGGAATTATAACTTCCAGTTCCTTTGGCCCAAAAATTTGGAAGCATTTGGAAGGTCTAGAAGCAAGATAAAATTATTTAATCCCCATTCAAGTTGTTGCACTAAACCGGAGGCAGCAAGTTCAGCTGACAGAAGTCGCTAGTTTGCCTGCTCCATGAGCCCAACGATGACACAGCGCTTTGTTTTTTGGATTTTGGCTTCATGCACCACTGAGCAACTTTCATAGGAATGAACAGGTCCCGTCTCCAACGCTGTATCCAGTTCTCTTTATACATCCATGATTTCAACTCTTTGTGCTAAGCTAGCTAACCAGCTGATGACTGTAACTTTATATTTAGCATACCGACATGAGAATGCTATCAAAATTCTCATCTAACTCTCAGCAAGAAAGCAAATAAGCTTCTCTTACAAAATGTCTAACAACATCTAACTAGTCCTTTTAAACAGTGGAGATTTATTTTTATGATATATTCACGTTGACAGAACTATGGATAAAGTTAACTGGCTGTGCTAAAGAAGCTAGTTGTGATAACACTGTAAGATATAAAATGTACAGGTGACGTACAAAATAACCTTTTGGTATAATGCAGTTCAGAACATCAGCAAAAACTACAATCTCAAAAATAGCTGGGTGGAATCAATACCCCTGTGACACAAAAACTAAATACTTACTGCCTTAAGAAAACAGCTGGGGAGACTGGGAGCAATTATAACTTTTCAAATTGCTCCAATCAGAAATGAGACAACTCTGAGCTGTGGTAACACGCACATTTTACAATTAAAACTGTGGTGATCCCTCTCTGCCTGCCAATGGAAAAACTGATGTCTCATACTTCATACAATTAATTATGCTGTTTTGATTAAACTGGAATTATTTGTTCAGTGGATATTATTGCCCCCAGTCTCCCCTATTCATTGTAAGTCTCTTGTTTTTGGACTGCATTATATTTGCTGTGGTTCATATTGAGGTTTTGGCATGCTACAAGCATGCAGTTCTCTGTTGAAATGACACCCATGTACATGTTGTAAATACTGACCAGACTGAAATTTATTCCATGTGAAATCTGCAGTACAAGTCACTTGGTCTGTACGTGATTAGACTGACTTTTCTAGATTTAGAGGAGTGTTTCAGTTGCAGCTGGCTTGTCCAGACATGTGGTCCCTTGAGTCAACTCAAACGTAGTGTCCAGCACACACAAGAGAGTAACTGTCACACAGCCGAGCACTGACAGATTGTGGGATTATTAATAAGACTAGTGTTTCCTGTTGACTTTGTTCTACATGCTTGTGTGTTCACTGCGCTGATGCTGTTCTCACACTGGGGCTCATTTCAGAGGCCGTGTGATCTCTCTGTCTTGCACACACACTTACACACACATGCAATTGATGCATTCTTAAATGAAAACACACTGAAAAGATATATATTATACTGTATGTACACCAAAAATATGCTATATTTATAGGTTTTCTTCATGGTGTTGTTTTTACGTGAATGTATCACCATGCAATGTTGAATTATATCAATAAATATGAAATAATGAGGTGTGGATTTTCTGTCTGATATGACTTTGTTGAATGCCAAAGAGGGACTGTACATACTGAAAATATACAATACAAACAATATTTCTGTCTAAAATAAACCCTGCCTTCGGGTGTAGCTGTGATAACTGAGTTTTCTTTCATGAAGACTTTGATGGCTTACGAGGAAGCCTGCTGTGAGGAAACAGCATGAGGACAATGTACACCACTGTCCATATGGCTCACATGATTAGTCCCTCAGCACCAGAGGGGACACACACTGATACCAAGTCCTCCTGGAGACAAGCACACATTGTTGAAATAAATGAAGACATACTTGTGTGTAACATTTATTGTGCTTCTCTGTGGTCTGTGTGTCGAGCAAAGACTGCATGTTTATTTACTGTCTGTACACTCATAACAATCAGGATGCAGCAATGATATAGTGAGTAGGTGGTGCAATTTGTATGTGTTAATTTTAGCATTGCCTTGTCTCTGTTGGCATGGTAAAATCAAACTTCACTGAACTGGCTTTGTGCTTTCTGATGAGAAGCCATCCTTCACAAGTGGGTGCATCCATGTTGAGTATACGGTTGCCCTCAGTAGGCACCGAGCACCTCCAGTACCTGGCAGTGTTCATGTCGTGCTCCTCCCAGTGAGCTATACTGTACACATTAGTTAGAAGGCTGCCAGCGTGCTGTTTGAAAACTGTGCGTGGGCTTTGTGTTGCGTGGGAGGGAGGCGATACAGACCTCTGCAGTATGGGAAAAAGAAGGTCATCCATGTGGGATGAAGCCTGCAGGGCAAAGTAATTCTGCAGCACTTAAACTTAGCGAGAACAATCAGTCCTCTGCTGCTATTTCTGCTTATTTTTGCATTTTAATATATTTTTGGTTAATATAAAATAACAGTTAAACATTCAAATTACTACATCGTCAAAAAAAATGCCATTTAGATTGTTAGAAACACTAAATATAATCACACAGAACGAGTGTAGGGCGACCCCTGCAGATATTACTCATCATTGCACGAAAGTTATCATGTGCAAGCCGAAATAGCTCAGTTGGGAGAGCGTTAGACTGAAGATCTAAAGGTCCCTGGTTCGATCCCGGGTTTCGGCAGGTAATGCGTCTGCTTTTGAAGAGTACATGCCAGGCAAGTCACTACAAGGTAACTAAAATCAAGACCTCAGTCATTATGGAAAGTCATCACGTTCATGAAAGTACAGGCAAGGTAGAATAGAGTAAATATAGTGTTATAGAGTAACTAGTGTAACTACCTAAAAGGAATTAAATGAGAAAATAAATTTAATTGTAATCAGTTACAGAGAAAAATGTATAATTAAATAACAGTTACTCATCAAGTTGCTAGTACCAGGTTGGACCCCATTTTGCCTTCAGAACTGCCCTAATTCTTCATGTTGTAGATTCAACAAGCCATCAGAAGATGGGTACACTGTGGTCATAAAGGGATGGACACGGTCAGCAACAATACTCAGGTAGGCTGTGGTGTTTAAACCATGCTCAGTTGGTACTAAGGGGCCCAAAGTGTGCCTAGAAAATATCCCCCACACCATTACACCTCCACCAGCAGCCTGAACCGTTGATACAAGGCTGGATGAATCCATGCTTTCAAATTCTGACCCTACCATCTGAATGTGGCAGCAGAGATCGAGACCTGTCAGACCATGCAACACTTTTCCTGTCTTCTATTGTCTCGTTTTGGTGAGCCTGTGTGAACTGTAGCCTCAGTTTCCTGTTGTTAGCTGACAGGAGTGGCACCTGGTGTGGTCTTCTGCTGCTGTAGCCCATCTGCTTCAAGGTTTGACGTGTTGTTGGTTCAGAGATGGTCTTCTGCAGACCTTGGTTGTAACGAGAGGTTATTTTGAGTTACTGTTGCCTTCCTATCATCTTGAACCAGTCTGGTCATTCACCCCTGACCTCTGGCATCAACAAGGCATTTTCACCCAGAGAACTGCTGCTCACTGGATATTTGCTCTTTTTGGGACCATCCTCTGTAAACCCTAGAGATGGTTGTGTGTGAAAATCCCAGAAATCAGCAGTGTCTGAAATACTCAGACCAGGCCATCTGACACCAACAACCATGCCACGTTCAAAGTCACCTAAATCACCTTTCTTCCCCATTCTGATGCTCGATTTGAACTCCTACAACAAACAAACAGGTCAGGGATTTTTATTCCCAACTGAAACCTGAATACATGGCCAACCGGCCCTCTGTGTTGATATGCCTATCAGCAGTGTGTTGATAACAAACAAACAGACAGAGTTTCAGGGACCTGACAAAGCAACCACTTGGCAGGAGGGGGAAGAAAAAGTGGAATAGTAGAGTAGAAAGAGTAGAAATAGAAATGAATGGACAGATACAAGGCCACATGTGTAGAGTCAGTCTTATTGAGAAAACCGTAGAACCAGCCTCCTTACACAAACATTAAGAGATAAGCACAAGATGTACTGGTAGAGTTCATGTGAGGTTTTTGCTGGAAGAAACTCGTTTTGATTCACTAAGCAAAAACGCCTCAAGGCTGAAGCTCACTCAAGCAAAACTCCCAACTTAGTATTTTGCAGCCGCTGGCAAAAACTCATCTGATGTTGCGAACTAGAAGTTAGTCAAGACTTGAGGATAGAAAATACATAGAAATCAGTCAGAAGAAGAAGAACTGTGTTGTTAATGTTACAGCAAATGACTTCTTTTTTATTGACATGACATTTAAATAAAATCTATGAATTATGAATCAATTCTTGAATAAAATAAAACGTATATATGTAAATATACGACTTCAGATAAACCCCCTCACTGTGTTGTTGCTGTGAATACGTCTCTGTTCAAAGAACAAAACCTCTGGGCTATGGTTCATTCCTTGGATAGCTTATATGTGTAGTAGTGGGTTGATTTTTATGACAGCAGAGCATTTTTAAAGCTTGAAGCTAAAAGGGTACATGTAGTACTGAAAGGAAGCGGGAAACCCCACTGTGAGAAACAGCATGATGATAATATACCGTATTGTGCATTAGAGGCTCATATGATGACATTAGCTGAAGGGCCACTGAGCAGATCTCGCTGCTGATCTGGACACTCAGTGCTTTTCCAAACAACCAGACACTGTTGGCCTGGATCCATAAAACTGTTATGGTAATGATAAACAGTTTGAATACAGTTTGAATTACATCACCTCAGACTGTGAAAATGTCTGCAATTATAATTAGGCTGTCAGTTCAACATGTGCCACACATGCTACATCTGTAATGGTCCTAGCATCACGACTGACCTCCTCCATCACAGACCCCTTGCTCCCTTGCCGTCTGGTAAAATGTAAGGCAGCATCTGAGCCATCTTCTGCCCACTTTCTGCCACAGTCTCTCACCAGTCTGTCAACACCCCGAGGTTTGAACTGTATAATTTGACATTACTTTCCCAAGGAAAGCTTGGGGTTGACACTGAGGTACCACTGTGAAATGTTTGCAAGTTACCACTGACCTACCACTGCAATTTTTCATACCCATAGTGTCCTGTGAAAACAGTGTCGGTCTATCACTGATTTTGGATGTTTGTAATAAAACTGATGGATGAAGTGTTCAACGACACATATTTTTCCTCTTGTCTTTAGTGCTATTTATCAGTCTAGATTGTTTTGGTGTGAGCTGCCAAGTGTTGGAGGTATCAGCTGTAGAGATGTCTGCTTTCTTTCCAATATAGTGGAACTAGATGACACTCAGCCTGTGGTGCTCAAAGCACTAAAAAAAGAAGGAAGGAAGAAGGAAGGAAGCGTGCTTCTGCATCCCTAGCACTACTGTGCTAGTTAATGTTGCGGCTCAGCTGAGGAGAACGGCATTAATGTTAACGTCTCGTGCCGTCACAAGCACGGGCCTTTCGTCCATGAATAAATGCACACTTCTTTCTACGCAGTGATACAAATGGCAGGTGTAGTTCAGTAGAAGGAAAGTGCTGTAGTTCCTTCATGAAACTGCTCACAACTAGGTCTGTTGATTATCTTGAGTAACCATCATGATTTCTGGACAGAGACATTAATTTTTTGACACTTTGAGCACCATAATCTGAGTGCCATCTAATTCCATGATACTTGAGAGAAGGCAGATGTCTCTATGACTGTTATCTCCAACATTCGGCAACTCACACTAAAACAATCGAGATTGATAGCTGGAAAACTCATCATCACACAGCTGAAAACTCAGCTTTTCTTCTGACCTCATGAAAGTTGACTTTTTAGAGATATGTGGCTCTCACAAAAATTCTGGACCTCACTATTTTCCAAACCCTGGCCACAGCCCTGTTTACAATAGATGTTTGGAGCCATAACTTAGGAAGTTTACATGCATTTTTAGTCCCAAATCATGATATTATTATTATTATTATTATTATTATTATTATTATTATTATTATCATCACTATTTGCCCTGCAGACCCATTTAAAACCAATGCTGCTGTTTTTTATACCCTGGTGTAACTGTGTATAATGTTGTCACTGTGTGCCAGTTGCTTAGCAATGAAAATGGTTTTATATGAATGATTGCTTTTTCTCTTCATAGTAAATATTCACAGCACTTTAGCAAAATTAACTCAAACTTCAAATAACATTTCAACACCATCATGTCTGACTTCGTGTGCAGTGCACTGGGGCTGAAGTGCTCAGAGACTGCATCTGAAACACAATACCGCAAGCTAAAGCCAAAAGATAAATCAATAAAAGAATTAACTTTACCCTGAACATACCATGCCGTGTATAGTACTATCACCATACTGCACTGCACTGAAAGAGCAAAAGTGTAGCCATGTGTTATTCACTCCTTCTTATTTAGGAAGGAGCTTTTAATAGCCTACATTAAAAAGCTTTAGGTGTTTGTTATCAATAATGAGGACAAATAATAAAAACATTTCTTAGAGGACTATCTTGTCAATAGTGCCTGGAATACAACATATATTGTACAAGATCGACCTCTAGTGGCTGTAGGGACAAATTGCACAGACTGCCGCGATATTAT